AGTCAGTGTGTATGACTACGTGTCCTCCCAATGGGGACGCGTGGGCTAGGGCTCCCATGATCGCAACGGCCTCTGCCTGTAGCGAGAAGGCGTTGTCTGATACCCTCATGGAGCGCATGGCATCCCTTGCTGCGAAGCCGGCGCCTGCAGTGTGGTTGGCTGGATCGACCGATCCGTCCGTGTAGTAAGTTCTACTACCCGGGGGGGGGGGGGTGATGGCTGATATGACCCTGTAGGTCTCTGCCTTTAGACCAGGCGTGGGATATTCGGTCTTTTTGAGCGCTAATCTCATGACCGAGAACTCTATCGAATTTTGTGCCCACGGCGGGGCTTCGACAAAGTCAGGGTGGGGGGAGTCCATGCCCTTGGTCAGGAGCTGCTCTTTGAGCTCAAAGCTTATCAACACCCTGGCTGTGTGGGACAGCCACGTGTTGTTGGTAAAGAGCTCGTTGTCTTGTTCCAGGCGTCTGACTAATTTTTCTCTTAGGCTCGTGTTCCTGGGAGCCTGGAGGACCTTTGCAAAGAAATTGGCTGCCGTTTGATCGATTCGTGAGTCCAGGGGGAAAAGGTTGGTCTCCAGCAGGAGGTTGGGAACCTTTGACCACCTCGGGGCACTCAGAATGATTCTGGCAGCTTCGTTTTGGACTGTTTCCAATTTTTCTCTGTATTTTTTCTTTCTGCCAATTAGGGCGACTGAGGCGTAATCCACAATGGGCCTGACAGCATGTACGTAGAAGGCTCTTAGTACTTTGTGTCTGGCTCCTATGCGTCTCCCAGTCATTACTCTCATGACGTTCAGTCTTGCTTTGCATCAGTCGACCAGGTACTTGGTCTCCTGCCGGAAGGAGAGGGTCCGGTCTACCCATACCCCAAGGTATTGGAACACCGGGACCCATTCCAAGTCTACTCCCTGGATCCTCAGACTTGTGCCTTGAACTCGCTTTCCCAGAGCCATGACCTTAGATTTGGCTGCTGAGATCTTAAGTCCCGTCCTGCAACACTCCTCGGACAAAAGGTCCAGACAACGCTGGGCTTTACTTAGGCATTGTGTCCCAATGGCGGTGATGGCGAGATCATCTGCATACGAGACGATCTTGCACCCCGTCGGGAGGTTCATGTTGAGGATACAGGACATAAGTACGTTAAACAGGGTTGGACTGAGAACCCCACCCTGTGGTGTCCCATTTTCCAGTGGCAAGTGCTGCGATAGGTGGCCCTGGAACTTCACTCTGGCTGTTCTGTTCCTAAAGTAGTCACCTATCCAAGCCAAGAGCTTTCCTCGGATTCCCTTCTGGGCCAGGGCCTCCTGAATAGCAAGAGGGCTTGCTAGTTCAAAGGCCTTTTCCAGGTCCAGGAATACTGCCACGGCTGAGGTTGTGCTCACTGTGCTCAAGAGCGTGGCTATGCTGTGTGCAGTGCTCATACCCCTGGTGAACCCGTGCAGGTGTTCGTGCGGGGGGTCCCATTTTCCACAGGAGCCGGTTCAGTACCATCCTCTCGGCCGTCTTGGCCAGACAGCTGAGGAGAGAGATGGGGCGGTAATTCCCCGGTTCCTTGGCTTTTGGGATGGGAACTATGGTAGCCCTCTTCCAGCTCTGCAGTACAGAGGAAGAGTCCCGGGACTTGTTGATGAGTTGCAAGAGTGCAAGTTCACCTTCTCGTCCTAGGCGGGAGATAATGGGATACGTGATCCCATCAGAGCCCGGGGCTGTATTGGAACTGAATTTATATGCTTTTCGGAGTTATCTCAGAGAAAAGATAACGTCTGAGTTATCGGCTTCGGCTGCCCTTTCTCTGATCTGAGCAAGTCTGTCTGCTTTCAGGCTTTCTTGTTTGGCCCTCAGCTCAGCTGGTAGACTGTTGCTGCTTGTTCTCTCAGAGAACTGGTGCACCAGTCTGTTTGCCTCTGCTTGAGGGTCGTAGTGCGTTCGTCTCGGGGCTGAGCGGCTGGTAGCTCGCCTGACCCGTTGCCACAGCTCTGAGATGGTGGTTTGGTGGCTGAAGGACTCACACCATTCCAACCATGTCTCCTGCCTGACTCTGCTGGCAGTTTCCTTGGCTCTCTCTCTCTCTCTCTCTCTCTCTCTCTCTCTCTCTCTTATATATATATATATATATATATATATATATATATATATATATATATATATATATATATATATATATATATATATATATGTATGTGTGTGTGTGTGTGTGTACATATATATACATATACATATATGTACATATATATATATGCATATTTAAATATATACATGTATATGTACATGTACATACACACAAATATATATATATATATATATATATATATATATATATATATATATATATATATATATATATATTTGCGAAGTTCTAGCTTCGCCCGGGCCATAGCCGGGCCCATACATGAGTAATGATAGCGAGGTTTTACACACACTCCCCGTGGGCACTCGGTGGTAATTGATTTAGAAATTCGAAACCGGAGTCAGATATAGTGAGGTGTATATATATGAAA